TTGGCTCTCTCGCATCAAACTCTCTTCCTTCTTGGGGCAATGAACGCATTTGGCCATCCCATGGCATCCATGTTGTCCCTGTCCATTTTACACATTATGGTGACCTTCTGTCCGCTCATCACGGGGAGTATCCCTTTTCCCTTTTCCACGGAGACATTCACTCCGACTGTGCCAGACGTGTTTCATTTCTCCGAGTTACGTAATCAAAAATAAGGAGAAAAGTTGTTTCTAGCGTTTTTTTTTTCAGTTTTTTTATTTCTTGTTTCGATGTATTAATGTCAAAATGGTGTATGGTGTTACACGGTTGCGTTTTCTAAACTTAAACTTGGGCGGTGGGACTTCACCCCAGTTCTAGTACTGTTCTACACAATATATTCTTTCTTATTTTTTATTTTATTTTATTTTTGAAATAGGATGTGAAGGGACTGCCCTGGATGCTGTTCAGGCCCTGCATACCCCAGCCCGCCCCAGACGGTACCGGGGTGACCTTTCCCCAGCTGGCCCGCCCAGGGACCAGCAGTGAGAAGAGAAGTCTTTCGAGAACACAGACCGCGCCTCTCTGTATGTAGGCCTTGCTGCTGGTCCTGCCTACCCCAGCCAAAACTTCCTTTCCTCGATTTCTGTGTGTCGTCCTTGTGGAGCGACCATGCTTGTCTTCTTTTATGTACCGTTCCAATCTTATACCACCACTACCTGCAGGCCTCCGAATTTCAAGTAGTAGCCTACTACCTGAAGTGTCAGGAGGCTGCACTCACCGTCGACCGTCGATAAAATCCATTGTCGGCATTGGTGTGTTACAGGCCTCCAGACTTTGTGGAGCCTTTTCGGTAGCCAGTCGTGCTGCAGGTAGTGGTGGTTTAACGAATGTATCACAGGACAACCGCTAAAATTTCCTGATGGCGTTACGACAAACATTTCTCGCCGCTGCACTGGCCCAAGCAAAACCTCCCGCAAAACCTCCTGCAAAACCTCCCGAAAGAGCCTTAGGGGATCGTTAGACACTCCTCAGCGCGTCCTCGGGCTCCGAGGGGAAATCCTCGGGGCAGCCCGAGGAATTTCCCGCTTTCGTTCCACTGCTCCCTCGGGACGACGCCCGAGGATGCTCGGAGGGCTGGCCGCGGGGAGACGTATAATTTTATACGCGGCCGCGGGACGAAAGTTTGGGCGGTGGTCCATTGTCCGGTGTCCGTGCGAGCGGCCTTGGTCCACCGCGTTTGGCCTTCGAATTCGAAAAGGGACTGCCGCCGCCGCAATGAGGAAAAAAATCCGCGCGGGCGCGTGCACTTTCAAAATTCAAATTTCGAATCGGCCGACCATGCCGTGCGGTGTGGTTCCGCGGGGACATGCGGGTACCTTGGGGCGACCCCATCGGGGACTCTGAGGGGTTTTGCAGTGGGCGTCACGCGAGGGAGCCGCTAGCCGTTGTGGCGTCAGCACAATGTTCCACACGTATTTGAAGAGATGGCTTTCCGTGACCCTCCGTCGACTGTTGTGAGCGTCGCGTTCCGCCTTGCTCGTTCGTCCTCACGCACCGCGGCACGGCCGCCATCTCCGCCAACTTGCTCGTGAGCAGTGTCCATTGCTGGGGGCGTCCGGTCGAGTGTTGGGCGAGTTCACTCCGCGAGGATGACTGAGGTGGTCCATGTGCGTGGAGTGGGTGATGGGGATGACGTCGGGGCCCGATTGTCCGGTGTGGAGAGGGCTGCCGTGATGTCTGCCGTAGCCGCCGTCATCATGCATTGTGACATGGAGGTCGAAGGTCAACGGCGGTGGGCACGACTACGTGCTCGGAGAAGGAAGTTGATGCTGGAGGCGACGACTGAAGCGTTGGATACCGCTGCCATCTGTGATGCCGTGTTGGAGGTTTGCTATGCACTGGGGTGTGGGGGACTAACGAGGGGACGCCGAGGTGGTGGGTAAAAAGGAGGACGGGGGGGACTTGGGAGGATCTTCGGCCTGCGGACGACGCCACTGACGATTACTTCCGCGACAAGTTACGGATGTCTCCACGTGTCTTCCGCGAGATCATTGAGAACTTGTCGCCGATTCTCCAGCGACGTGTGACGTTCTATAGGGAGCCGTTGCAACCAGACCAGATCGTCGCCTACGCGCTGTACAGGTGGGCGTCAGGCAAGACATACGAGAGCAGCAGCTGCAACTTTGGGATTGGCAGGGCTTCAGGTTTGGTGGCCGTCCGGGACGTTACTGCTGCGCTGCTTTCGGTGTACAGGGAGAAGGTGGCGTGGCCGACTGGGGTGCGGAAGGCGATCGTTCTGCGTGCTTTTGCAGACAAGGGTTTCCCGAACTGTCATGAATGCATCGACCGCACCCATATCTACGTGGACAAGCTGGCGAATGCACCTGCAGAAGACTACTACGACCGCAAGAGACGCTTCTCTGTCGTTGCTCAAGTGGTGGTCGACTTGGACTTGCGCATCCCGGACGTGTTTGTGGGATATCCGGGGAGCTGCCACGACGTCCGGATCATCCATCTCTCCACTCTATGGTCGCGGGCGGCGGCGGGAGAGTTGTTTACAGGGCCTCCTGTGCTGCTATCGTTCCAAGTGCAGATGAATGGTTATCTGCTGGCCGACAATGGTTACCCGCCGAGCGAATGGATGGTTGTCCCGTTTGGCGGCGTAGCGCAGCATCCCCTGGAGAGTCGTTTTGACAGCAAGCAGAAGACCGCGAGGGGGGCAGTGGAGAGGGCATTCGGGAGACTGAAAGGAATGTGGCGCTTGTTCCTAGGCTCGCACAAGACCAACATGGAGACCTTGCCCCAGCAGTTCGTGGCCGTCTGCATCTTGCACAACATCCTGATCGACGCCGACATCCCTTTTGACAAGAACTTGCTGTGGGAGGTTGACGCCAATGGAGTTCACCGTCGGGTGGATCTCGGGATCCATCGCCCCCCCAGGCCGTTGTGCATGGAAACTTCTACGGGGTAGGCGATTATGCTGCGGCAGGCGCTGGCGGAGCGAATGATGCGACGATGACGGCAGAGGACGCCGCGTGGTGGCAGGAGCTGCGGGCCGCGTTGATGGAGGAACGTTTGACGGCGGCGGTGGGAGGAAGCAGTGTGCGGAGAGACGACGGGCGCAGTACATGTGCCATGCCGTCCAATTTCCAGTCAACAGTGAGGGACGGAGAGCGGAGAGCGACAGTCATGCCTCGTAGTGCCAATTACCAGGGCGCCGCCGCCTGAGGCCTTCGCCTTCTTCGCCTGATGCCTCCCCCGCTTGACGGCGGTAGCAGCTTTGCCCTGATTGAACTCCCTCCCCCTTTTCCCCTTCGCTGCGTTGAGCGTATTCATCATCGTTGTGAAGACGAACGACGTCGATGGCGGACGGCTGGTGGAGGAGACTGGTGAAGGCCGCACAACCAGCCGTTATCTGCGTTGGATTGAACAGACGCCAGACGCGCGGACGACGCGTATCTCACGGCGACACTGACGACCCGGCTGCCACGCGCTCGCCGCAACGACGCCTTGTCGAACAGCCACAGAAACGCGCGCTGCGCAAGTTGGAACATCGACAACGTGTCCAAGCGAATTTGGCGACGAAGATGAACACGGCATCCGGAGAGAAGGAGGTGTGTCGACGACGTGTCCAGGCGCAGTTCGCGACGATGACCGACACGGCGTCCGACTGAAAGGAAGTAGGCGTGTCGCCTGGCCCAGCGCGTCGTCGACTGCCCTGCAATGCGCCGTGCGACAACGCCGCCAGGAGTGCGTGGAGTGGACTGCTGTGTTCTCTGATCGGTGGATGGGCGCCCGCGAAGTTTGTAAAGCGAAGGCGCATGTGTCGAAGGCACCGTTCGGTGGTACGGAACAGGGGCCGTCTACTAGTCAGTGATGTGGTCGCGGGTGGGGGCAGGCCGAAGGGGATGCCTTCACGGGATCAATGCTTTCGCATCCGGTTGTCCCTCACACGTGCTGTCATTGAGCAGTATCCCCTGAAACACACCCCCGCAGCGACGAACACCCCCGCCATCAAATGAAGGCAGAACGCCGAAAAAAAAAAAAAAAACTTACCACCCCCTACCACCCAGCCCATTGGAGCCTGACAGACAGGCATGCACAAAGACGTCTGCATTGGAAGGCGCCCTTTGAATGCCATGCCGCATATAGCGTTGGCCAAAGAAAGGAGGTCGTTTCAGTACAAAGATGTTCATTCCAAGAATGCAAACATGAAGCAACATGAATTTTTTTTTTTACAAAAAAGGAAAAAATACCGAATTGAAAAAAAAAAAAAAAAGTTATCCTCAACACACTACCAGAAATTGATCCAAAGGACCTATACTGTACATTAAAAATCTCTCTCTCTCTCTCTCTCTCTCTCTCTCTCTCTCTCTACATTAAAACTCTCTCTCTCTCTCTCTCTCTCTCTCTCTCTCTCTCTCTCTCTCTCTCTCTCTCTCTCTCTCTCTCT